ATAAAAGGAGACCTAAACACTTAGATCTACTATGTTCATGGATAGGAAAGTCAGTGTCATTTAGATAGTCTGTAAATTAAGCTATCCAGCAATGCGAGTCCTATAATACCCCAGCAAGTTTCTTTGTACAAATAACCTAACATATATGTGAAAAGGGAGAAACCCCAGGAAATCAAAATAATTTTGAGTAAAATAGGAAGACTCTTCATTCCCAGTGCTAGAGCCTACCACAGTGCTCGAGACAGTGTGATGTTCACAGAGGGCTGGATGCGTGGATCAACGGAGTAGCACAGAGCACCGGAAGGAGACCCACACAAACATGCCTGCTCTGTTACTGACAAAGGAACAAAGTCAGTTCAAAAGAGGACAGAGACATCCATGAGTAGGGCTGGGTTAGAGGAGTGTGCACAGGCAAGGAGGGAGAGGAGAAGGCGGCAGCTCAACCCAAACTGGCTCTAAGTGGGTCATGGATGTCAATGTAAAAGTGTAGGGCTGTAGAACACTGAAGAAAATCTTTGGGATTTTAGAGAACTGGGCAAAACTTCTTAAACCTCACATAAATCCATCATTTTTAGAAAGAAAACTTGATATATTTGGCTTCACCAAAATTAGACAGACACTGTCTAATTTTTTTTGACAGACACTGTCAAAAGAATGAAGAGAAAAGTCATCTATAGGTGTGAAATACCTACAATTATATGTCTAACCAGAGCCTTGTATCTAGGCTATATAAAGCTCTCAAATCCCAACAGCAAAAAGAACAGCTGCACTTGGAAGGTGCACAACAGATGCACATAGTTACGGGACCAGCGGTGATGTGCAGATGGCAAATAAACGTGGAAAAATGTTCAACATCACACTGACTAGGACAATTGAAACATATCTGTCACATGATTCAAATGTCCATAAAGAGTGACATTTTATTAATCCACATATCAGAAATGGCTAAGGCTAGAATTAGTGGTAACATGAAATGCTGGCATACATGTGAGGAAACTGAATTACTCTACATTGCCAGGGATGAGAGAAAATGTGCTAAGCATGGAAAGCCACTTGGCAGGTTCTTCCCAAATTAAGCAAGCATAAGGTGTAACACAGTCACTGTGCCTGCCCCTCAGCATCTATTCCAGACAATGATTGAGTTTCATGTAAGTTCTTAAAAACCAATGCTCACAGTAGCTTGACTGCTACCAGCATTAAGTTGCCAGGAGTGCTTCCAGAACCCAGGGTTTGAGCTGCAATGGCTCACATCTTGAACACACCTTGAATACCAGTCTAAAACAACTAGGAAAGAATTGGCACAGGCAGCCCAGGGGAGGCCAGAACTGGGATGTGGTGGGGAGGTGTCTCAGACCCCTCTGTCTATACTGCAGGGCTCCATGGACCTGGCCTCCCCACCTCACCAGTGCTATGCCAGGAAGAGTCACTTCTCCCAGCTCCTCTGGATCTGTCCAGAGGAGGGTATGTATGGTGGGAAGACAGGGTTATTTGTGGGATCCCTACCACTGTGTTCCCAAAAGAGAGCAGAAGGGTGACTGGGAGCCCTGCAGCCCTAAAGGAGCACATTCCTAGGGGGACCCAGCCAGGAGATAGCCTTGACACTTGGTCTGGAGTCCTGGTGACCACACAGTCTGAGCTCTGTCATCCAGAGGAGAGATGCTTCTGAGGGACGGAACCCTTCCCTCATGGCATCAGCATGAGCCCCAGGGAGAAGGTGTCAAACTGAATTAAACTGTGGGACAACAGCTGGTGGGTGGCAGTGGGAGGTGGTACATTTGGGCTGCAGTGAAATGCCTGTGGGTCTGGTGTTCTCCCTGGGTTCTTCACTTGTACTGCAGGAATGGCTTGTGATGCTATGCATCTTTTATGGTATATTTGCTGAATAAATATATGTCCTTAATGGTAAAATGCATCTTAATATCACTTGCCCAGTTTTTAGCTGGAGTGGGTTTTTTGTTGTTGTTGTTTGTTTGTTTGTTTTTTCAGAACCAGAGATTGAATTTAGGCCCTTGCGCTTGCCAGGGAAGTACTTATTCCACTGAGCCATCTTCCCAGTCCCTGAGCCATCTCCCTAGTAATGAGTTATATATTCTAGATACATGAGCTCCTTGTCAGATGTGGTGTCAGCACCCAGTCATCATCAAAGAGGATTTTCATGCTTGATCACCAACAGACTAGTGCTGCCATACTCAAATAGGTGATTTCCTGAATGTCATGATTTATCCTGGAGCAGTTATGTTGACATCTACACTAAAGTGACAAAAGCCATGATGGGAGCACTGCTGGTGCCTCACAATGAATCAAGAAAGTGGCATCACAGGACAGCAGTAGTGACTGCATTTGTCACTCTCACACACTTGCATTATGAAGGCCAGATCAAGCCAAGTGGGAAGCTGAGGCAGGAGATTCCCCAGGTGTTCAGGACCACACTGGCAGCTTTAACTAACTAAATAGAAATTATTATCCAAACTTGACTACCAAGATGGAATTTTTTAATAAAACAAGGTGAAATGAAATATATAAGGACCAGACTTGTACATAACAAAGAGAATGGAAAAAAAGAGTAAATTAGGCACAGATTAAATTTCAAAATATAGATTCAAAAAGTAAACTAGAAGTTGTACAATGGTAATGCATAGCTGGAGAGACAGGAGCTGATAGCTAAATGTCAGATAATTCTTTTTGGAGGTGGTATAAATGTCCTAGTGGTTGAGAATTCTGTTAATATGCTTTGGGGTGGGGAGATGGCTCAGTAGAATAAGTGCTTGCCTTGTAAGCACAAGGGCTTGAGTTCAATCCCCAATTCCACCAAAAACAAAAACAAGTATTAGTATGCTTACTGCAGCAGTGGTTATAAATTGTATAAATAGCTACGAATTCTAAAGTCTAAATGGGGACTACATATGCAAATGTATTTATAGCCTGTTCTTAAGTAATCTGAAGGCTAAGGAGAAAATGGGAACTCTTTTACATTGTGGGTGGATGTATAAATTAGTATGTAATAGCAAGCTGTTTTCAGATTTCTCCAAAAACTATACATTGTAATTCAGTTCAACCCAACTCTTCCCCTTCTAGGTTATCTTAAAAGACCTAAAGATGTGATAATCTTTCTTTTCTTTTCTTTCCTTTTCTTTTTTCCTTCCTTCCTTCCTTCCTTCCTTCCTTCCTTCCTTCCTTCCTTCCTGTCTGTCTTTCTTTCACCAGGACCTAAACTTCAGACCTGTGCTTGCCACACAGGCACTGTGCTGCCAAGATATAGCCCCAACCCAAGACATGACATTGAAGTGATTTGTGCATTTCTATGTTTAAAGCAGAACAATACACAATAGCTATATCTTAGAAGTAATGTAAATGTCTATCACAAGATGAACTGATAAGGAATATGTAGTATTTATATACAACGGAGTATTTCTCTATCATAAAGAAGAATAGACTTGAGTTATTTGTAGAAAAATGCTGCACCTTGAGCCAGGCACACAACTGCAGATAATGTCTTGGTTTCTCATATCAGAAATTTAAAGTATAAATACATGAAAGATAGATAATAGGAAGCAGAAAAATGGAACTTTTAGAAAAGGGAAGAGGACCAAGAAATGGAAAGAGGGAAGGAGAGAATAAAAGAATTAAAATAGGTTATGTAGATGTACTACGTCCCCATGATAAATGTTATTTTCTGAAAATATGTGCCAGTAAAATGTAAAAAGGAAATTTGAATCAGGAAATAAGTAAAAACTCCAGGATTTTAAAAAGAAAAGAAATGGATGCACAAACATTTCAGATGCTAAGATCAGGCAGTGTCTCAGCTGCTTCCCGGAGCACTAAGGCCTTGTCCTCTGGTCAAAACACCTACTCAGGAAGGCCATGCCAGAGCAGAGCATTGGCCCAGCCTCCTATCTGGGCTCTTTCAAGGAGAAACAAGGTCCCTAAGAAAACTGCCAGCTGGGGGCTCCATGGTAGCACACTTATTAACAGTACAATGGACAAAAGGGGGATTTCTAACGGATGTGGGTAAAATGCATAGGTGCACCACAGAAGGCCTAAACAAATGAGACCTTTTGCATACAGTAGTGAAGGAGAGCCTGTCCTCCACCAGGGGCAGTGGGAAGAAGACCCCATTGTGCCAGGAAGACCTCAATCAGGCTCCTGTGCACTCTGGAGTTTGGCTTTTCAGGTCTTTCCTTGTTTGTTGTCTTTACTCCCCAGATGGGACAAAGCCTGAAACAGGAGGCAGCAAGGCTGGGAGAATTTTCCAAGTAAAATAAATCATCTTTATTTACGTTGCCAAAAAACAGCCCCCATCCCACCCAGGCAGGCCCCTCCCTTCTAGCCCACCCACTCCTAACACCTCTACATGCCCCAGAATATCTGACAGAACTCTGTGAGGAAGGACCTCTGGCTTGTGGGGTTCAGGATGCAGCCAAGGTGAAATCTGGCCAAGGCCCACCGGAGTGATGGGCACACCACCATCTGCCCAGTAATCCTATAGTTTTAGTGCCTCTTCCTCCTCCTCTGGGGGCCAAACTTATTACTCCTCCCCTTCAGAGGCCATGAGGGTGCAGCATACCCTTGAGCCAAATTTTGCCCTTCAGAGACCTCACGGGAAGGCCCTGGGTGGAACATCTTTCCCACAGGAACTGAGCCTCCTGTGAGGACTCGCTTCTTAGACCTGCCAGGTGGAGGGAGGTCAGGGCCAAGGACTCCTTCCTGGGGAGGTAGGGCCTTGAGTGCTGGATCTTCAGTTCCAAGGAGGTCCATGCCAGAAACTGGGGTCTGGGACCATTCCCAGGGAAGCAGCTGGTGAGGGGAGGCCAGGAGGAAGGACAGGCTGAAGAAGTCCCCCTCATCCTCACCTGAGCCAGATTCTGGCTCACATGGACCCCCAGTAGGAGAGGACTCTCTGAGGCTCAGGGCACATCTGGGTTTCAGGTCCTGAGGAAGCGCACTGGGAATGGAGGCACCCAGTGGAGCCAGGCTATTTCCTTTGTGCAGAACAGCAGTGACCTCAGACCCTGGAAGTTGTTATTCTGTGGCCCCGACTCTCTTAAGGACCTGGGAAGCTTTTGGAGTTGAGCAGGTCTTCTTGTTCACCATTTGTTTGGGATCACAGCCATCTTGCTCTGCACTTTGGTGGGCATCAGATTGGAGTGCACCTCGGCTCCTGGGCCTACACACACCTCCCTTGTCCTTGGAGCCCACGAGTCTCTTCTCCACCAGCTGCAGGAGGAAATGGGCACTTGCTGGTCTGCACCAGGCAGTAAGAGGGCAATCAGGGTAGGGGTGAGCATACTCAGACAAGAGACAGCCTCTGGAGGTTCACCCATTTTGGCTTCAGAGACAGAGCCTGAGGCCCTGGGACTGCCCAGCTGGGCCTCCTTTGGGTTCAGCCTCAGTCTTCCTCTCTCCCTGGTTTCTTCCCTTTCTGTCCCCAATGTACATCCCCCATCTGGGTGCAGCCCCTCTCAGCTGGGAGAAGGCAGAAACTCCCAGCTCAGCAGGGCTGGACAAAGAAACATGGGCCTGCTGTACAGGGTCTCCTCCTCATCTTGATGATCTACCTGATATCTTTCCTAGCCCTGTCTATCTTATGTCCTTTATTTATAACACCTAGTGTCTTCTGTCACTTGTCTCCCTCACCCTTATGCCTCTTCTACTATGTGCCCTTCTCTCCCATTAGTCTGCATAATGTGCCCTGCCCCCTATTGCCTGGACATCCTGGTGTCCCTGCCCTTGCCTCTGTGATATCACTTCATCTGTTTTTCACCTGGTGTCCCTCATGCTTCTGCCCACCTGTTCAGGAGTATATGTTCTTCCTCTAGCACCTGTCTTACAGCCAAGACAATGTCTTTCTCTGTGTCTGTAGATCCTGCTTCTACCAGAAATTGGGGATTGATAATGGCTTCGACCTAGATCAGAAGAGGAAACTATGAATGTCCTTG